ATGTAAATCATATTCGTGGTTTAAAGGCTAATAGCAAAAATGTAGAGGGGATCGGAAGGCTAGGATCAACCCTTTCCCCGACTAAATCCCGACAGCTATGTGCAACTCAAAAATAGACAATTCTTTCTAATTCCCTGTTTTTCTCTGGCTCTCTCCCTCGATTTCTCTGCTCTCTGTCACCCCTCCCGCTTTCTCTCTGTCTCTCTTTCTCTCTCTCTCTCTCTCTCTCTCTCTCTCTCTCTCTCTCTCTCTTCCCCCTCTCTCTCCCCTTGGTTCCCGGTTTGAGATACTCCTAGAAAGTTTTGTATTTATGTAAGTATGTTTAGAAGAATTGAGATAGAAAGTCGGAAAATTCGTGACTTGGGAAATTTAGACAAATCCATGTGGTTTCCCACGTGTCTCCACAATCCAGTACCCTTGTTTCCCTGGATTCGTAGTGTTTTGACGCCCGAGGTTTGGCCCGCGCCTCAAAAAAATCCCACTCAAATTTACAGCTTTCTCCGATCAAGTGGTTCACGTTTTGGCCACCCCACTTTTTCACGGCACCAGGAAGGCAAATTTCCGCGAATTTCCCGGCCAAATTTCTTTTTGGATTTTTGAGGAGTCGCCGAGTAGGGAGGAGGATGCGAAGGCGCGTCTTGGGTTTTTGTTGTTGAGCCCTATTTCCCTGGAGGGCGGGCGGATCGTCTCGTATTTTCACGAGGACGCATCACGCCGCCAATTTTTGCGGTATGTACACCTGATGACGGGGCACGAATCGAATTATTCGACTAGAGGGGGGGGGGGGTACGGGGTTGTACTTCCTGAAGGCGTTCGTTAGATGGCCTTTCAAAGCTTGATTGTACCGGTAAAATTACCCTTATCCTTCCTACTTGATAAGGTAGATATGGCGTGTTTCCCGCCTGCCCTTTTTCTGGATTTTGGGCGAATGAAGAATGGCTGCTAGAATAAACATGTTTTTTGGGCGTGTATTCCATCATTTCCATCATCGTTAAGGTTTTATTGCAAATCTTAGGATTCAAAATAAGTTTTATGGGTGACCAAACGGTCCCTAAATAATCTCTGCTAGCTTGCCTGTCTCGTCGAAATTGGGGCGTAGTATCGTTCTATCGCTTCGGAAAATTATGGCTATATTCCGGGGCTTGCGCGTTAATGATTAGATCCGATTCGCTGGCCGTTTCCACTATTTCCGTTCGAGGCCTTCACGACTCATTTAAAACAGAATTTATGCTTTTTTGACGTCCTCAAGAAGCTGAATCTTTTCGAAACTATGGCCTTACATTTTGGAACGTCGAAACGGCTTAATACTGCTCTTTCACGTCGGCAAACGCGTTTTTCGATTTTTTTCTAATCCCCCAGAAATTCGATAGAATTCCGCCCTTCCGCGCAATTGTCTTTATTTTGGCTCTCCGTTATGCAAATTTGGGTTTTCTCTCCCGACGCCCACACAGACCTTCCAGAGACAGATTTCCTCAAAAATCGTCTTGTCCGATTTGGAATTTGTTTTGAAATGGAATCGTTTTTTTTATTGCGTCAATAGTACCCGGGGGGGTGTAGGTGAATGTTTGAAAATCACACCTTAATGAGGGCTTCCCACAAACAATACTCTGTCTGTCTGTTTCTCTCGCGCGCTCTCTACCTCTCTCTCTCTCTCTCTCTCTCTCTCTCTCTCTCTCTCTCTCTATCTCTCTCTCTCTCTTTCTCTCTCTCTTTCTCGGCTCTTTCTCTCACTGTCTACCGTTGGCGACGGCAGTCATTTTTCCACCCGCATTATGGGCGCAATTTAGCAAACAAGCACTTAATTAGAGCCTCAATGTCTGCGCGTTTAAATAATTGAGCATTCCGATGTTCGTCTCTATCTGCTGCTCACCGATCTTTGCATCCATAAACCGGGGATTTCCAGCGTTGTGCAAAATTGAGAAATGCTCGTGCGAAAGCAAAGAATATTTCAATTTTTTATGAAATCTGTGGTACATTTTCTCTCTCTGTCTCTCTCCCTCTATCTCACTCTATCTCTCGCTGTCTTGCTCTCTCTTGCTCACTCTCTAGCTCAGGCGGCCCTCTCTCTGTCTCGCTCTGACGGCTCTCTCTCTCGCTCTCTCGCTCTCTCTCTCGCTCTCTCTCTCTCTCTCTCTCTCTCTCTCTCTCTCCCTCGTATCTATCGTTTTCCTTGTCACCCTGTTTCTCCCGCCTTCTCTGCGATTTTTTTTGATACGCTCTTTAAATTGTCGTAATTTGTAGTTTTCGGAGTTTTTTAAATTTCTTCATTATAATTTCTAATTATAATTTAAGTTTCCTCTATTTGCAGGGTACCATATCCGCGGCCGCTTCGCAATGCTAGCGGCAGCGTTCGGCCGACATTCCATCTCAAGGCGGGACGTTTACTTGTTCGGCTACATTATTTTGATATCCGCGTTGTTAGTGGGACCCGCAGAGAGCTCCGGGCTTAGGTGAGAGAGAGAGCGAGAGAGCGAGAGTGAGAGTGAGATAGAGAGCGAGAGAGAGAGAGATCATCCACTTCTTTCCAGGTTGTGTGGAAGCAAACTGACAAAGACGCTGTTGGCAATCTGCCGAGGTCAGCTTTGCGGCGGCGGTTTCATGATGCCGATGCCAGCCAAGCGGAATGCTCCCGGTACGGTCGTTAAAGGGCCGTCGAAGGCAAACTTATGGATTTACGATAACTCTGCCCTGTCCCTTCACAACGCATCTCAAGAAATTGGCCTTTTAACAATTTTAACTGAAGTTTTAATCTAAAAATTGCTGTTTTAATAGGACTTTGTATTCTCCTGGCTGAACCACGTGTTTTGGGCATTCTGAATGAAGCCTTTTTCTAGCCGAGTTGAGGAGGAGTAATCCCTGGGGGCCAATCACTTAATTCAGCTGCGTAGGTTCGGGATCAATAACTAAGAAAATACGATAATTGAGATCATGAGAAGGGCGTTTTCAGATTTGCCGATGAGTCCACTACAAGGCCAAACACAACGGATCGACTTTTTACAAGCACATGCAGCCATCAAAAGGTGAGTAATGACCACAAAAATACTAGTCTACTGAGTTGAAAAGTGTTTTCTATCAAAGACGTAGTCAGTAGTCACGTGTAGGCGCGTAGCGGGCGCGTTGCGTATACCCGTACGCTCTGAGCTGGCAATGCTGACCTAAAATTTGCAAATTTTGAAGCATTGATTCGTCGAAGAACGTCTCAAGTTGGACATGCTTGCCGAGTAAATGTGAAAATCGACCCCTTCCACATACTAGGTCTCGACACCTACGCAGCACTCCAAAATACACCAATTTCATTATTTGAATCAGATGCGACTAATCTGATTTTTGCCCCGAAATCAAACCGCGTTTTGTCCGTGTATTTGGCACGTTGCGTATCTGTCTAGACCTAGGTCAGGTGAGGGTCGATGCCAGCGCTTCCATGTTCCTTTAAAGGAACATGCAAGGTACCAATGGACTTTTGGCCAAGATATTTTTATCCATATTTTTTTCAGGGGTGGTGTGGCGACGGAGTGCTGCGAGCGGAGATGCTCGTTCTCATATCTCAAGAGTTTCTGCTGCGACGAGTAACGAAAGGACATCAACTTCAACAAGACTACACACTACAAAATACACCAATTTACAATGGCCTGACGAATCCAGAATCCTTGAGATTTTTTTCACAAACTTTGCCGACCACCGGCGGGCCGGCCCACACTTTGCTACATTGGAAATTAGATGATTTTATGCACTATGAAAATTCATGAGGTTTAAACAGTTACGCTAGGGAATTCTAAAGTATTAAATTACAAAAAATTTGAAATTACTCATTTCAACACTTTTTTTTCTATTTTTTTGAATTATTTGGAATTTTAAGTTTTGTAAAACCCGTAAAAATTGGTTTCAAAATAAGTTTTCCGATTAAAATGTCACTAAGCTTCATGTATTAGGAGGCTTGGTTCTAAGCTTTCATGTAGTTCTTCGGCAAAGTGTGGGCTGGTACGTCAAAAGTACAGTATCGTACAGTTCCGGAGCTACCGGAGTGTATCGGAATATTTCGGAATTTCCATCTATCTTATTTCTACTCAAAAATTCAAATTTCATCAGATTTCCGCGAGATTCCACCTGACACCCAAAATTTTCATAATTCCCCTAACCCCGCCCCCTTTTAAAGGGACCGTGCCAGCACGACGCGACCAACAAAATGGGTATCGCGATGGCCAAAAATACCCTTAAAATGCCCGGTTTCCAATCCCCGATCTCTAAAAAATGACCAATCTCTCGATTCTTCCAACCATTGATGCATTTATATCACAAATTTCTAGTCCAGAAGAATCCCCTCTCTTTCTCTGCCCCTCCACCATAGTCGTGCTCTCTCGCTATCTCACCCTATCGTCAATACTGTTATATCACGCCCTATCCCATCATTTTCCGGTATTTCCGCCATTACTTTCTTTGCGATGAAGAATGGTGAATAAATATGGCTGTTGAGGGGAGGAAAGTACGGTACGATACGCTACCTTACGAATGATACGTTACTCTACCGTATGCTGCGATAGAGCACACTAAAATGCCGAAAAGTTCATAAGATTACGGTCTGACGAGCTAGATTATGCTACGCTACGATACGCTACGATACACTACGATACGCTACGGTAAGCTAGCATCGCTACGATATACTACGCTGCGATACGCTACCATACGCTACGATAAGTACGCTGCGATATGCTACGAAACACTATGCTACACTACGATACGCTAAGATACGTACGCTACGATACACTACGATACGCCACGATAAGCTACGCTACGCTACTAGATGCCACGATACGATAAGCCAAACTATCCTTTGTGTTGCGCTACATTGCGTTACACACGATGCTACGGTATGGTACGTTGGAATGAGGTTGGTGATACTGTCCGAGATAATAGGTTACGATACGTAATATTAAGTCACAGCAGATACGTAGAATATGGTAGTACAGATGCATTTTTCACGAGTCAAAGAAAACAAAAATTTATTCCTTCACATTTGCCAGAGCTGGAATCAACTTCTCGTAGATGTCGATGCCGCGAAGAAATACCTAAAATACTAAGGGCTACTTAGGTTTTTGTTTTTAAAGGCATTGGTAAGTCAAGAAATTGACGCACTAATAGGCGAACAGATCGTAGTATCTTCATATCGTAATCGTTTATGTAATCGGCCTCTCAATTACTTACCGATTCGTCCAAATACTCATCGTGACAGTGCAACAACACGGTTGTGTTGATGATGGGTGAGAAGCCGATGACTCGAACTCCGGTCTTAAAGGCATTGTGAAGGTAGACAAATTCGACATACCGCCCTGATCAGGCCACAATCCGTTCCACAGGGAAAGATTTCTTTGGTGAATTGGCAGTTCCTAGAAAAATACAAGAAACTCCTAGAAGTTTTTGAGCTTTATTCCAGGCAGTAAAAAACTCATAACTTTTGAAGAGATAAAATCGACCCCTTCCCGGAAACTAGGTCTCGACAACTACGCACTACACTAAATGAGGTTGGAAATGGATGCGCCCTAAGATGGAAAATTGAACCAAAGAACTACAGATACACTTGAACGCTTGTTTTTGCTTATCTTGTTGCTGTCTAGATCTAGTGGAAGCAAGGGTCGATTTTATCACTTCCTGGTCCCTTTAAAACGCAAAATTTTCAGTATTTCTTACTCATTTCCCAGCGTCTCTTCGATAACCCTCGAAAATGGATCATCCTTCGTAGTTGGGGTGATGTTTTGGAAGGTTTTATGCTAGAAAATATCTAATTTTGAAGTCTAGTTTTGCATACCAAAATCCAGTCAATGTTGGTGCCTTCACCAGCAAATTTTATCCAGGAATCGATTTCCGCTTGTAGTTCATAGAAATTTGTCGATGGGGTGACTCTCATATCGAATTCTAAACAAAAATCGGGAGAGGGAAATTCCCCAATAGTCTTTGCTAGCTGGCCTATCGTATCCTAAGGTCTTTTAGCACATAACAATCCCCCAATAATCTCTGCTAGCATACGTCATCCAGGATAGCATTTACTACATCAAAAATCCTAAATAATCTCTGCTAGCTAGCTCACCACATTCAAATTTTTCTGGCACAACATTTGTCTCGACTCCGCCCTAAATTTTGTGATTTTTTAAAGTTCAAGAATCGATTTTCAAAGGGTCCAAAGAGCCTACCCGACAAACCGTCAAGTTCAAGCTGGTCACATCACCGAGCGTCTTTTTCGGGTCCTTTTTTAGGATTTCTTGTTGTTTTGCGCGGAATTGATAGGCTTTTGAGATGAAGCGTTGCTAAACGTGTATTTTTTAGCTAGAAAACTACACGAAAACCATTTTCTCGGCAGCGGAATTCGCTATAAAACGCGAACCGTGGCCGGGAGGGCCCAGGAATGTGACGCGGAACCCTGAAAAAGCACATTTGCTTTTCGACATTACAAAAATGACATTTTTGCTTTGATGAGACGAACATTTTTCGCTTCCAAAAATTGTATTAAAGGTACGCTTCGCTTAATAACTTTTAAAGCATGACATATCGGCAGGCCCGTACGGGAGCCGAGATTTCGGAGGGGCACCCACCGAAAAATTTTTGGCGACCTCCCCCGGTCGCCACTTAAAAAAACCGCGTTTCTAACGCTTAAATTCGACACATCGGAAACGGCGCGCGCAAGCGCAATTTTTTCAGCAAAAATGGTGCACTAATGAAAACGAGCGCCGCAGGCAAAAATTTTTAGAAAAATAGGTTTTTTAGAAGTAAACAACACTATTTTTGCGAAAAAACAGGCAGAAAAATTTTTGCGAAAAAAATCATAAGGGTACCCCTTTATGAACTTTTCGGGCCTCGACCGATTTCGGGGGCACCGTGCCCTCGTACGGGCCTGCATATAGGTCAGAAGAATAGCATAGGTAAGTTGCTAGAGAACTTTTTAACTTACACCACTTGCAGCGTTCAGCGTAAAAAACTTTGTAAGTATCATTCTCGGAAGCCATTCCTTCGTCTAGCACGAAACCGACGTTAAGCTTCTAAAAAACCCGAAAATGAAGATTATAAGGAAAAAACACGGTGATATAAAGAAGATTGCAGCCAAAAAAAAAATTAAAGTCGGCCTTCAAGAAGTATTTGGAAAAACTTCTCGGAAGGCTACATTAGCAAAAGTTTCCGCGATTTCCGGAAACGTACCTTAAAATCCGGATGTTCCACCAGCTTCTCCATCCCATTATGGCTCCCCAATTCTTCATCTGAAATTAAAATATATAAACCAGGATTGAATACTGCATAGTATCTTTAACGATTTTATACCTACCAGGCCCCCAAACGATATGAATTGTGCGCTTAAAATCTTTCTTCCCATTTTTGTAGAGTCTCCGCATAGCCTCGAAATACTGGATTCCATTACATTTCATGTCCTGCGTTCCTAAAAACACCCATGAGAATAAGAAATAGGCAAGTCCAAACCCCTGCCATAAATTTTTCCATTCTCTTTTTCCGCTTCGAACGGATCGTGTTTCCAGTGTTCCTAAAGGGTTATAGAATTTTTTAAGCACAAAAGCTGTTAAAAGGGCTAAAAATACATTAAGCTTCTATAAAAATACGAGATACCTTAGAAACCGGCACAACATCAGTGTGAGAATGTAGCATTAATGCCGGTAAGTTCGGCTCTTCCCCAGGGATGGTCATCACCATAAAGGGAAATCCTTTTTCTGGCTAGAAAAAAAAACGAATTCTTTAGGAATCACCCTACCTCAATTATATGATGTTCTATCGAAAGTTCATCAGCCAGAGCGGCTAGGAACTTCATACAATCATCTAAACATGTTAAGAACTTCTCAAAATCGTTCGATTTCTACCGTAATCCGGATTCGGTTGCTCTGTCTTGATTAGCAGGTATTCGCGAAATTTAGTAACTGCCGGGTCTTCAGAGCTCATTTCTAAATCGAAATGCGAGGGAGAGAGCGAGAGAGAGAGAGAGAGGGCGAGAGAGGCATAGAAAGAGCGAGAGAGAGTGAGGGAGAGGAAAAGAGACAGAGAGAGAGCCGGAGAGAATGTGAGCAGGGGAAAGAGAGAGGGAGAGAGAGTGCGAGAGTGAGAGATCAAAGTATTTTCTATAATCGGTAAAAAGTTAGATAAAAATCATTTAGCAGATACCGCCTGGCTATTGGCTGAAAGGGCGTTCCGTTGGTTTCGAGCCGACCCGTAAACAAAACGCCCGGCTAAAAATCAAACCACCAACAAACCACTGTTCACTCAACACCCTAGTATAGTGGTGGACGATAAGTGCAAATAACAACAAGTACGATTTCACATTAGCAACGCTAGAAAATTTGGCGGATTGAAACTCAAAAGGATGAGATTTTAGAACATATTAAAAAATTAAATCATGTTTCCGCTTCCTTTAAAACGAAGAAAAACACATGAAAAAGCGGTAGCAATGCCTAGAGGCGCACACATCAAAAGCTAGTAAAAATATAAATGAAATCGACCGGTCAGACTGATACAATGAGCATTTTGAGCAGCAAGTCTCTTGTTGAACATTGATAGTTTAAATTTTCTAAATTTTCTGTTTGGCTTCTTATCCAATGCATTTTCATTAAGTTGTGTTAAGCCCTCGTATTTTATTTTTATATTAAAATTTATTCTCTGACCACCCAATTCCGGGGTGGCCCACGCAATAAGGGAATTCGGCATCAGTAATCAGTAATCAGTTTAAGTAAGTAATAAGTGCATCGGGGGGAAGGGAGGGGAGGGAAGGAAGAGCTTGGAGAAGCACCAAAATAATTGAAGGAAATCCATCGGCATTCGATAAACTACATTTTGGCACTCGGAATATCAGAGAGGAAATAGCGATTTGGAAAATTTGTCTAATTGAGCTTCAAGGAATCTAGGGACGATTCGACAAAATTCTGGCTTCACTGGTCCTTTAAAAAGAATCGAACCGTCCCCAGAAATTGACAAAAAAAATCGTGAATTTCTTACGGTGAAGGCAGCGATATGCGAGGGAGCAGTATTTTGTAAGGGGGCGTAGACGCAAAAAAGGAGCAACTTTTAAAAATCGTGAGAATATACCCTGGGCTTGCGGACTACGGTAGGTATCGGGGGAGGGGCGTATTTTAATGTACACACACGGGTAGATCACAGACTGGCAGAAGAGTTGGAGGGAAATCAAATGAGATATTCGCAACGTGGAAACCGACATTTTAAACGACCGCTGAAGGCAAATCCATGCGGATCTGGCTTGCTGGGTCCTCTAAAATCGTGAAAAAACAAAAATTTGCATATTTTTTGGAGTAGAGAAAAGTGAGATGACCCGCGACTAGAGGGGAGTGGGGGATACGGAATAGACAATCGGGCGGTCCGGGGCTGCTTTTAAAAAAGATTTAAAATTCACTGGAAATTGTGGGATTACGGTAGGGTACGGTAAGGGTTTCAATCGATTTCATGAAATCCCATTAATTACGCTCGGTCATTCCAATCGCTTACGATATGGAATTTTTATTGATTACGGCATCAAATTCCTATTGAACAACTTCCATCCGATTACGCCATAAAATTAAAATTTCTGAATCGGAAAAATTACGATTTTTTTGCCACTGCCGTATCCAAAAAAATCTAACAAATTCCACTACACTCCAAGGAATCGGTTACGATAGCAAGATCAGCTTTAAATTCCCGAAATTTTTTTTTAAATATCGTAACCAATTCTCTGGCTTAAAATTAAAAATTAGCATAGTAAGGGCGCCCCTAGGACCCGAATCGAAGAGCACCGAGTATAGAGGGGGAAGAGTTGGAAGGGGAAGTTGAAGGTATAAGAAATCGAGATTATGATATATAAATGTTATTAAGTGCCAGGGCGCACTAATGGCGTCCCATCAATCGACTGGCCGAGTTGTACTGATGGCCAAGGGTTGAGCCGTCGTAGTCGGGCACGTGCTGAGACTCCATCATCGCCAGCATGTCCTGAAAATAATGGGATAGCTTTTATAAGGATTTAGAGACTTGAAAAGGCTTGGTGGGCTTGGTCAGCTTGGGAAGAAGGCTTTTTCTGATTTTAGCGACGGGATGGCGGAAGTGAAAAGCAAGTCCTAAACATGCAGTGTGAAAATAAAAGACGGGCTAGCTAGCAGCGATTTTTAGGGATTTTTTTGTCTAGGTCAGGCGAGCTAGCAGAGGTTTTTGATGAATTTTTTTCTTCGTCAAAGTAAGCTGCAGAGATCTTTGCGGAGCGGGACTACCAGATAAAAGAGCAGCTAGCATCATTTTTTGTGGTAAGAATCTTTTTTTCGATGCAGGGAAAAAATCATTAGGGCAAGCTAACAAAGAACCTTGCGGAATTCAACTACAGGCTTGGGCAGGCAAACTAGCAGGTTTTCTTGAGGAAACCACACTCGCATTTTTTCTTGCCCGAATTCGCTCGAATTTTTTGAATTTTTTAAGCTAGGCAGGCTAGCAAAGATCTTTGGAAAATTGAGCCTTGGGGTTGCTAGCCGAGACAGTTTGAGATCTACTATTAGGCGTAGCGAGACAGGAAGAGGCGAACTAGCAAAGTTTTTTTTAGGAATTTGATTGAACTTAATGGGAAAATCACGAATTTTAGGGCAAGCCAGCAAAGACCTTTTAGGAATTGGGTGTCTTTAGGGCTCAAGTAGAGAATCAAAGAGATGTTAGCAGAAACTATTGTTGAATTCTTAATTAACTGGCCTATTAATGCAAAAGTCAGAATTTCAGGGTTAAGCTAGCAGAGACAATTTAGGATCCAGATGTTCAATAAAAAACGAGAGAAAGCATAAAACTCCTTCCTACCCCTTTCATGCTCAAATCAGACCCTGCCAAGCAAGCTAGCGCACGCCATTTGGAAATCCTATATCGTTAGTTTAATGCACCAACACTCACCTGTAACCGTGCCGGCAACCTTGCAGCCTGAGCAGCTTCACTATGTTCGAGTGCCTCGATCAACCCGTCACGATATTGGTCGAGATATTTGTACAGTTCGTTCAGGGCCGAGAACACGTGGAATTGACCCTTGTGCTGGCGGCTCTCCTCAGCAAGGATATCTTGCATTTCGGCATCAGGGATCGGGCCCATTCGCTGGATGTCAGTGTAGTATCTGAAAGGGGCGGGTTTAACGGGGGAATTTAAGTCAAAATTTAAAGTAATACTGGCGACTAAATTGAAAATGAATTTTTAGGAACAAATGTCGGTAAGATTTTCAATAGAAAACGACTTGGATCGACTTGAAAACGTACGTATCAACGAGATCCCTATACTGGTAGATGTCCTTGGCGAAGAGGAGCTTGCTGGAGGGGCTGTCTTTGGTTAGTTGGTGATCTTGGGTCGAGCAGGCGTCCATTAGGGTTTGGGCAACGACGGAGAGGCAGCCTTCCACCTGGAAAATGCAGCGATAGAGAAGAGAGAGTGATTGTGTTAGAGAGAGAGAGAGAGAGAGAGAGAGAGAGAAAATTAAGTCCCACTTACCTTGGTAGGTTTTGGGATGTCGAACAAGAAATGCGGGTTCTTGATCAAATTCACCCAGAATCGAAGAGGTAATGCGTTGCTCTTCCACGCGTGCACCACTTCCGGATCCGTAATCCCGTTTTCTTGGGCCTAAAGAAGAAATTAACGAATTTTTCTTGATTAAGATAGATTTTTAAATCGGGGTGAGAGCATCAGCAACCGTCAAAAAATTGAAAATTCTTGTTATCACGGGCCCTTTAAACTTTCGATTCTAGTGCGCACCTGATCGTCCATAAAGTCGAACATGTACTTGATGCAGTACGGTAGACCACCAGCATTTCCTCCGGTTGAAAAGATCGCCTCCAGCAGGTCGTTGATGAACTTTTGGAGCGTACCCTTCATCATCAGAAGTCTGGAAATAGGTGATTTTAGTCGATTGGAACTTGATCGATCAAACCGGAAAACAGTTTTTCTAATCCAGTTTTTTTGGCGCTGATTCCGATTACGTCATTAGCTATCCGCAATTTTTGTCTTTTTAAATAAAATCGACTTTTTGCAACTTTTCCAATCCGGCATATTGCTTTTTTTAAGCTAAGGGTTTGTGAAGGTAATTTTTCCCACCTCGTAAGGTAAATCTCGGACACCATCTTCTCATTCGAGTCATTCGGGCCGTGTTCGGGCGTTTTCACAAGATGGTAGAGCTTGTTGTGGGTATCGTGCTCTCGTGAATATGACGAAGAAGACGTTCCAAATGGCCGGGAAAGCGTCGGGGAGTTCTTGATCGACATTGTCGATTTTTCGCTTCGTTCGGAGAGGAGGGACTGAAAAACATAGACGTAAAAAGGTATAAAGAAATGAGATTTGGTTTTTATCGGCTGTCAGAGCTTAAGAAGCTTCATAAGCTTTAGTAGCTTAGGTGGTTTGAAAGGCTTCAAAAGCGTGGAAAGCTACAGTCAGTAAGCTTTAAATGAATCAGAAGACAAGTGAAAAGCCTAAGCCAAGCCTAAGCCAATGCCTAAGCTTAAGCCAAGCACAAGCCTAAGCTAAGCCCGCTGCATAAGCTAAGTCTCGTGTCAAAGTTAAGCCAAGCCTAAGCTAAGCCTAAGCTAAGCCTAAGTTAAGCCTAAGCTAAGCCTAACCTACCTAAACTTAAGCCTAAGCTCGAGTCCAAGCCTAAGCTTAAGCGTGCTAAGCCCAACCTGAGCCTAAGTCGAAGCCCAAGCCTAAGCTAAGCCTAAGCCTAACTCAAAAACTCACCAAATTGTACAAGCTATTCTGCCTGGCCATCAACCCCATGACGGCGTTGTTGGGGACTTGGTAGTGAAGTAGTGTGTTCATCTTCTTCCATCCGGATGGCTCAACCCTGCTTGTGCTGTCGACATCTTGGAGCAGTAACCGTCCATTCAACCCTGTTCGCCATTCGAGATCCAGATCGTCCGCCTTCGGTCGTTCCGAGTAGGGGATGGCGCGGAATTTCGCTTCCAGGCACTTTTCTTTCACCTGAAAAAGAATATAAATTGTGTTTTAGATTTAGATTTCGACATCCCGACAACCAAAATCCGACGGCCTAAATACCGACAGCCAAGGTGCCGAAAGCCAAAATGCCGACATGCCGGTTGTCGGGATTATGACTTTCGCGATTGTTTTTTCTGTCGTGATTTTGGCTGTCGGGATTATTGCTGGAATTTCAAAAAGGCGCTTCACTTCCCGTTCCTTTGAAAAACCAAGGTATTTTAGATTCGGAAAATTCCTAGAGATTATTTTAATAATTTAATTTTATTAAAGGAATTTTCAATTTAGGTACAATGAAAGCATTTTGCAGTTATATTGAAGGGGTTGATTAAATACCATTCCAAAAAAACTCCAGTTTTGCAGTAGTATTTTAAGGTATTTTTGTACTACTTAGAATAAAAACATACCTGCGTGACCGTATCACAATCCAGCACCCTTACAGGCACATCGGGTTGCGCGAATCCATTGATATTGACCTCCCCGGCAATGAATATCGTCAGTTCCTTGTACTCAAAGGTGGCTCGTAGGAGTTTCTCTTCTGACAGAGAATATCTAGCTTCAAGTGTGACAGCATCCTGGGGTCCTTTTTCCATTTGTTGTTTAATACCCCAGTATAATTCGTAGAGCTTCCTCCCAGCCGATCCTTGATATGCTAGCAGATGTTTGTGCATCAGGAAGGTAAACCAGGCCGCCAGCATACGTTCTGCAACACTTTCCGATCGTCGGAAAAGGATCTTTGGCTGGAACTTCTTCTCGACGGTCCGCTCGATGAGTTCTTTGAGGAGATGCTTCAGGATTTCTGTGCAGTAGGGCATCTTCTCTTGGAGCACGACCATCAGAAGGGAGCCGACGTAGACACGATCTTTCCCAAGGAAGTACTTGTTCGACTCCATGACACGGACCCAGGTGGTGAGGAACGTCTGAAAAAGAGGGGTTATGGTGGGGTTTGAGGTTTTTAGACGGGAACTTATCGACAATTAGAACGTATCGAAACTTCTTCTACTTCTGAATTTTTGGATTTGACATTATAATATCGAAATTGTACCTTATCGAGATTTCACAATTCGTGTTTTCTTAGTTTTGAATTTTTCTTACTTTATGATTTTTAAGATATCGAAATTTTTTTTTGAAAATATTAGTGTCGAAACTGTAGAATACCAAATTTCATGAGCCCGAAATTTCATAACGCCGAAATCGGTAATCTCGAAAGTTTCAGAATTTCGAAATTCCATCAGTTCGTAGTATCGGATTATCGAGATTTGATTATGCCGAATACAGAAATTCCTCATGTCGAAATTAATTCGTAGTTTTCTACATTTTATAAGGTCAAAATTAAACGTCGAAATCAGAATCTCGAAATTTTGTAGTTTCAAAAGGTGAAATTATCAAAAATTCCATACCATTCCCCACTTTTTCATATTGTTAACGTTTTAAAATAATAAATTTTGCTTTAGCAAATTTGAAAACTGTATGAGAATTCGAAATTTTGGTCGAAAATCGAGCGATTCTGGTTGAAAAATTGATGTTTTTGATATCTTTAAGCAATTTTTGAATGTCTACCTGGAAGAGTTGTAAAAAAGTGGGACGCTTTATTCATTTATTCATTTAAAAAAATTAGATCTGCGCAAAAATTTGACCCCCCCCCCCGAAACAGTAACAGTTTTGCCACTATAAGAAAAACCCTAACCTTGTTGAGGATGAGCTTGTGGAACTCCCGCAGCGAATTCTCCACCGCGGCCGCCCTCGTGCTGTCCACCTCAAGTTCGCGGAGTACGGGGTGCTTGTGCAGGTTCGGGAATAGCACCCTGGCCGCATATTCTTTGTACTCCAAGAAAGGCACCATCGACGAGCCCAACGGCAACTCTGCGGAGTACGCGTTCAGCGACGTCTGCAGCTCGGCAAAAGCCTCCTTGCATTCGGTGGCCACCTTCATCTCGATGTTGTCCATCTGGTGTTTTAGATACTTCATTTGCCTCTGATGGGAATTCGTCTTCTTCTTGTACATAAACCCAACGACGATCAGCATTATAGCCAAGATCGCTGTAATCAGGCCAATAATCGCTATCCCGGCCGCCGGCAACGTCTGCGAGTCGTACGACAGTTCTCCAACTGAATAAGCCTCATCTCCAACGCGCACGACGACTTCGGGCTGTACACCCCCGCCCAGGTCTGGCTTGTCCTTTGGTGGTCTACAGGTCAGGGCATCCTTTCCGATGGCTATCAATGCGCAGTCTTCGCCGCCCACGGTGATCCTCACGTCACGCTCGTACGCGACGTCCTTGACGTCGACGGCGTTGATGGTGAGCGTTTCCTCGCCGGGGCGGTAGAAGCGCAGCTGCTTGAAGGTGGACACGTTCGGGTTGGGGTAGACGCGGATTTGACGCTTTTCGGTGACGGTACCATCGAAGTCGAAGGCGTAGGAGGCGAGCAGGGGGTGGGAGACGGTGGGTTTTCGATCACTGCTCGGGTAGGAGGGGATTTTGCAGAGCATGAGCTTGTCGTCACTGATGTTACATGGAGGGCCCGCCTGAAAAAAGAGGATTAGATATAAATAGCAAAAATTGGCCTTAAGATGGGTATATGGCTATTAACGACCAGTGAGAGTGGGAGTGATAACTACTTCTTTTGAAAAGCATCTAAAATCAGACATTTTCCAAGGCGCCGCGGCCGCGCTGCGTCTATGGCAACCTCTCTAAGTTTCTCGTTCTAGCTGTCCCGTCTCTTCCGATTATATGTCTCTCTCCCTCCCGCTCACTCTGTCTCTCTGACCATCTCGCTCTCTGTGTCTCACACACACTCTCTCTCTCTCACTCTCACTCTCCCTCGCTCACTCTCTCTCGCTCTTTCACGCTCTGGCTTCTCTGCCACGCTCTCTCTCCATCTCCCGCTCCATCTGTCTCTCTATTGTTCTCCCTTTCACTAGAAAGAAAAAACTAGAGAATTTCTCAAATGGATGTATAGAAGCTAACGTAATCAAAATCTACCTAGACTACGCGCAACTCCTATATACGCCCAGAAACTCTATTTTTACCGACATTAAAAGCGCCTCAAACCACTCACCCTCGGTTGCGCTTTCCCATCAGCATACAGCAACATATGCGGCCGTTGCAACAGCTTGAATCCATCCCCAGCCACATCTACCACAATCCCTCCAGCCATTATCGAGTGCTCCGGCCGTACTTCAAATATCTTCGGGTTGTTCCTATAGGCGAAATTGAGCCCTTGGCGAACGTGCGCTTCTTTGTCATCGACATCCATGGTAATTGGCATATCTCCAGATAGCCTCTCGGCCATCCCCGATTCCATAGGGGCTGCCCCAGTCCGGCATAAGACTCGGCTCTCATTCCGCTCCAATACCTTACACGCGGACCCGCCGATTTTGATCGCCATCTCGGAGCCAGAGTCGAGGTTCTCGCCGGTGAGCACGAGGTCGGTGCCGCCTGGAATTAGAGGGGTTTTTGGGGGGTCTCTAACAATTTGCTATAATTTTCATGATTTTTAGCAATAAAACCAAATCAAAACGCGATCCTAATTTACTCTAAAACGCAATTTCTTTTCTAGACATGAATAGACTATATAGCTCCCCCCACTAGCGGACAAGGACCGCCGTCTCCCGAAAATCCTACCCGAAGTAGGCCCCTCCACCGGGTCCACGCCCAAGATCTTTGGCTCGACGTAGCTGAACTGCTCGGTGGTGACCACAGAGTAGATGGGGGAATCTTGAAGTTTCAGGATCATCGGGCCCTTATAGCCGACGCCTGGGGCATTTTTCGTCGTGCAGTAGAACTCGGATGGCGAGATGAAGTCTGCTGTTTGGACGGTGCAGGGGACGTTCGCGACCAGGACAGCTCCACGAAGATCAGCAGCTGAACGCCCGAGATTCACGCCGGTGACGCGGATCTTGGTATTGCCGTGGGCGGGGCCTTTCTTCGGGTCGAAGGAAATGATCATGGGGTGAGGGCAAAGCTGCGTCGAGTTCAGCCAGTCACTAGGGCTTCGCCAACGACAAGCGCGAGGGCGGACGCATCTGAAAATGCAGTGAATGAGAGGCGTTTTCTTGATACCGTGATCAGACTCTCTATCTTGCACTATCTTTTGCTCTCCGGCGCTCCGGCTCGCTCTCGCTGCTCTCTCTCTCTCTCTCTCTCTCTCTCTCTCTATCTCTCGCTCTATCCCTCTCTCTCTCTCGCTTTTTATAGCTTTCCAACTAACTTTGCATCCTTCTCGCACCAGCCGCAGTCGAACTTGGTGGGGTCGAGGGACAAGCAGAGCCCGCAGTTCGAAGCCAACTCCTCGCAGCGATATACCTAGAAAATGTACGTATTTCTCTCTCTCTTTCTCTCGCTTTCTCTCGTACTCTTTCTCGCTCTCTCTCTCTCTCTCTCTTTTCTTTCTCTCGCTCTCTCTCACCTCAACAGCCGTTCCATTGACGTTATCAAACGAGTGCGTCACGTCCGACGTCGGAGATGACCAATTCACTTGAAAGTCCACCGGGGCGGTGCCGCTGATCATCTTCAGCTCGGGCTGATTGAAGCGCATCTCATCGCAGCTGAAATGGGAAAGCTAGAGTCAATTTTCCAAATCCATTGCCGAAAAACCCATTTGGTTTTGGTTTTTTTCCTTCTCAGTCCCTTTAAAACAAAAATTCGATGCTAAAACCTACACAATGGTGTCATCATCAACAAGTGCGGCCTGTTTCTCGTGGAGCTGCTGCCCGATGCGGAATGAGCATCGGAACTTGTGCATGACGGACGGGTCGAGGTTGGCCACCTTCACGGAGACGTTCCGCTTCTCCCCAACTCCGACAAACATCTTGCCGTGCGGGGCCTTGATGTAGGGGCAGTGGTTGGGGCCCTGGCGGGAGGATTGGCCTTTTCGCTGAAAAGGAAACATTCGATTACGCCATTAAATTATACAGTACGTTTTTGGGTTATGCACAACCGCCCATGGGTTCGGTCCGGGTGGTTCAAGGGAAAGGGCGTACTGTACGTGTTTTTCGCGCGTTGCGTGCGGGTGCGCGGAATAGCAACCGGTTTTTAGCTGCGCAGGCCTGCTTTCGCAATTGCGCGACGCGTCTATCGCCCGCGTTGCGGTCTTCCCTCCTTTCCAAAGCTACCGGACGTTTTATTAGAAGCCGGGCCGCTGTGTATGATGAAAATTGTCTTGAAATTTTTAATTGTAGGTTTAAAATGCGTTTTTGGATTTGAAACTCTTTTCTCAACTTTAAACATTTTTTAACACTCCACAATTAAAAGGGGACGTTAAAGGATTAAGGTTCAGTCCTAAAAATTTTAATGAAAACTCACCGCGATTCCATTGATGAAATTTTGTTGTCGGCATTTGTCCTCCGTCAGCTTCCCGTCGACACACTCGTTCGACTCGAGGCACCAGTCGCATGGGAATTGGCCTGAAAATACGGATGATTAGGGGTGGTTCGGTTAATAGAAATACGGTACGCTACGTCTAAGGTGTACGTAGGCATAGCGGAACGTTACGTACTCCAAAGGGACAGTGTCAGCTAGGTATTTCTGCTTTTCGGAGAACAAGGCTACAGTAGGATGGGTCGCAATAAATTTTCCTAAAACGCAACGCGCAAGCTACACTTTGAGAGCGAGAGAGAGAGAGAGAACGAGGGAGCGAGAGAGTGAGCGAGAGAGCGAGAGCGAGAACAAGAATTTTCGATAAAACTTACTCCTAGTACACTCCGAGCAGCTCTTGTACTTCCCACAATCGTAGAAGGTAAAGTTGGTGGTGGCAATAGGAGCCGTACGTCCTTCTGGCGTAATTGCCAGAGCAGCGACGAGGTACGATTGATTGGCCGGAATGGATGGGATTCGGTTCAGCGAGGGTGTTGCGCAGCGTATCGTACTGTAACGGAACATTTAGGAAAAACAACAAAAATCGTTCGTTGCGTTCAAAAAATCTTTTTTGAGCAGAAAAATACTTTAAATTACGGTAAGTATCGTTCAAAAACTCGTAAAAGTGGAAAAATCCGGAAAAATCACAAAATTTTGATTTATACGTACCCATCCGAGCCTCCGTGATGTTTTGGCGGCTCGACGTCGACAACCTGGTCGTATGGAGATGTAAACCTGAAAAACGCATTAAAAATGTCCCCTCGAAAGATACGATATGAAATTCCAGCTGTCACAGTCCCTTTAAACGCACCGAAACTGGCATCGCAGCTTTCCCTTGGCCTCGCCGACATTTTGGATGGTGACGTTCACGTAGTCGGAGGTGGTCACTTGGATTTGGGAGGGGACGACGCGGTCGATGCTGAAAAGTGGATGAATTACGGCATCTTGTTGACTTTCTAGCTTTCGAATACCAAATCACTGACCATATTAGCTATTAGTGCTAGATAATTACCTTCAAAGTTCCTTTAAAATCAAAATTAACATTGTTAGACATTTTTGGCAGCAAATTGTTGCCTTGTGCGTCCCGTTAAAACGGAGTACTTACGTGGGACACAAATCGTTCTGATAGTCGAGCCAGCCCTTCATTTTCGGGATATCTCGATGGCATTCCGACGCGTCGGTGCATTGATTGAGTACGTCACACCACCCGCAGTACGGATCTTTCCTCCCTACGCAAGCGCTGCAGCTCGTAGCCAGGGAGCCGCATTCGGATGTTGGGATGCGGGTTACCTAGAAAAAGTTTTGATGGTTAAAACAGAATTAAATGTAAAATTTTCCATTAAAGTCACGGGATCGTACGATAGTGTACTTTGTACGTTTGGATACTCTTAATTTAGTTCTCTGCAATTTAGTTCTTTAGGTGGGCGGAAGTCCCTCCCTTGGCTGGTAGGCCAATTATCGGTCTTCTTCGACATCTATCCTTGCTTTGTTGTTGCTGGGTGGGAGAGAGAGAGAGAGAGAGAGAGAGCAATGAGTCCTTGACATGCACAAAAGATTGCCGTATCTTGGTAGATGATGATGCTCTGGGGCCGAGGAGGCTTAATTATACCTCGGACCCATCCAAGGGTTGTGCGTAGCTTTCAAATTAGACCGCGTTGTTTTTGAGTTTTAATTGAATCAATTTTAGACCAAAAAGTCAGAAATGAGGCTTCCCAACCCCTTTAAAACCAATTAAAATCGATTTCAGAACAAAAATATCGTTTTTGTGACTAGTTATGCAAAATTTTTGCTCTTTATCGCGCGACACTTTTATTTAGTTCAAAATTTGACATTTATAGGAGATTCTGGATTTTCGGCTCCTTTAAAAGCCACCAGGAGTAAATCTAGCGAAAATTTGAAGTGGGAAATTCCATTTTTGGGGCCAAAATTGAACTTCAGTGTTCCCTTAATTTGACTCTTGGAAAACCACAACAGCTTGAAATGACTTCTCTGGTCCTTTAAAACCCGGAGGAGACAATCTTTCGGAAATTTCCCGTAATTTCCCTTTTCAACATTTCCCAAACCCCCGAAAATTCACTAAGTTTGCGCCCAAAATGGCAACTAGTCGCCTGGCCCTGATGGCGTGCCGAGACCCCCAAGGAATCTCCAAGAAGAGGGAAGCCATTCGATGCAAACGACTTCCCGTCGGCACGAGAATGCCCCAATGGTCTCCGGGATTCAACACGAATCCGTCTGGCTACTCTGTACGGACAGAGGAGTGAAGCGGAGTGGGGGAGACGATAATCCCTTTATAACGGAGGGGTGGTCAGGGGATTCGATCGGTTTTTGGGTAGGGTGCCAAAAACTGGATTCAGGTTTTTGGGGGAGGGTCAGGAGTTTGAAAATTGCGAGGGAAAGCGTGAGAGAGAGAGAGAGCCAGAGAGAGAGAGAGAGAGAGAGAGAGAGAGAGAGAGAGAATGAGAAAGATTTTCTATCAGTGTCGAAAATCAGAATGCCGAAATGAATTTTTAGACGATTTTCGAAAATTTTATCGATATTGAATTTACGAATTTCAACTTGTGGTAAATTAATTTTATCGAATTTGATAAAAATCGACTTTTCGAAAAAGCCGAAAAATCTCAATTGTGACAACATGAAATTTCGACAAGTAAAATGCCGAAAAAATCAAATATGGACAAAATAAACTTTTAAGAAGAATAAAATTAAGCTTTAAAAGGACCGCGTCGGCAAAAGTGTCGTTGTACAAACCTTTCTTGGCGTCAAGACGTAGACGTATTTGCCGGTCTCCGAAAATTCCATGTCCTGCAGAATCGGTTCATTCGGCGATACGTGCAGCTCCTCGTAGACGAACGTCGAGTTCCGGTACTGGATGGACGTCTGAAAATTCAAATTAACGTGTGTGATTTTGGGAAGTTACTGTTTTTTAAAGACCTAGGAAATTCTCCTGATTTTTCAGAATTTATCTGGCCCCCAGTTCTTAAACAATTTTTTCACCCATTTACCCGCGATAAAACCCGACCCATCGGGACGATTTATGCTCTGGGAATTTTGCGGGTGGCACGAATCTCGCCGCTCGGCGTTCCCGCGCCACGGCTATTTGCATACGGATTTGGATGGCCCGGGGGGGGGGTGCATGGGCCGGCCAATTATAAGCTTTAGAAAGATAGGGCGAGAGAGGGAGAAGGAGAGAGAGAGAGAGAGAGAGAGAGAGAGAGTGAGAGAGAATGAAATAGAGAGTGAGAGAGAACGGGTCATCAAAAGTGTCACCGCACCTTTAAAATCCGCCCATCATCGGTTCCGATGAAAACGATCGTCGTACTGTGGGTTGTGTTGGCGGCGACAGCGGTGAATCTGGAAATAATTACCATCAAAGGGATTTGGAAGGAATTCTCTCTCCCTCGATCTCACTCTCTCTCCTTCTCGCTCTCTCTATCTCGCGCTCTCTCTGTCTCTCTCTCTCTCTCTCTCTCTCTCTCGCCTTCTCACCTTCCGCCCATCTCCAGCACGGGCTTCGACTCAATCGCCTTGGCACCTCCGATCAGCTTGTTCACGTCACTGCCACATTTCAGTTGTTCCCATCGCAGTTTCGTGGACACGCATTCTTGGCGGATGTTAAGCCATTCGAGGCCCTGAATGGAAAATATTATAAAAGCATTAAAACTGAAAAAATCTGAGCTACGCAAAAAATCGGCAATTTCGACAGGAAATTCCAAAATTTGAGAAAAGAAGAAAGAGAAACCGGGAAAGGTGGTGTCTACGGGAAAACCGCGCGCTCAGGAACCTTCGGAAAAGGCAAAAACTTACGATTACGGTACGGGTTACGGTAATTATAATTACCTTGTTTCCGGCTCCCTGATAGCAAGTCATGATGTTTTCTCGGAACATTTCCTCAACGTCACGCATGGAGTAAATACACAGCGCGGATTCGGCTGTGGGAACCTTGAAAACATAAATATAAACCAATTTGCGTGGATTTAATTGTATGATTTAATTACGATTAGTTAAAATAATAATCTCTGGTTCAATAAAAAGTTTATTCGAAGAATTTTACCTCCTTCTTGCTAGAAGTGGGATCGCCGAGCTGGAAGACACCGTAGAGTACAGCGTCGTTCTCCCTAAAAAATCAAATTAGGTTTTACGGTTCGTAATGAAAGAGTGAGGGCTGGCGAGAGTGAGAAAGCGAGAGATAGAGAGAGAGCCAGAGAGCGAGAGAGAAAGAGAGATGCCTACCGAATATCAAGCTCCTTTGCCAAATCGTAGCCAGCCTTCGACAGATAGACGTCGGTCAGCAGGTTATAGTCCATATTCTTGTTCTTACACGTTAGAGAGACCTGAAAAGAGATTTTTAAGCTTTGTAAGATACAATATAAGACTACGGTATCGAAACACTATTTTCCATGGCTAAAAAATGAGGATTTGTAAGGTAAATTTTTGAAATTTACAGTAGTTTTGAGCATTTTTAGCCTCGAAAATTACATTTTTGTGAATTTTTTGAAATTTTTAGGGTCATTAAACGACTTGTTTAAAACAGAAATTCCGTTAAAGACCCACCTCAGTGTACGAGTTGTAGTTCGGATCGCCCTTGCACACCCTGACCAGCTTGCTCTCGATGTGGCCCTCATAAAGCTTGCTGAGCTGCCGGGTGGCAAAATAGGCGTAATCGCCGGATTCGAACCCTCCAACGTAGTGAATCTTATACGTGCTCTTGTGCTTCCGGTCCATATCGATAAAAGTCCCGCCGGCCACCGGATTCTCTTCACGATCGAATTCCTTGATTCTTCTCCGATCGGTTACTCGTTTTTCAAGGGCCAGTGAAGCCATGGCTGGGATTTCTTCGCGGTACGTTGTTGCCTTGTCGTTTTGGACGAAGGTGGAGGCGACGTACAGGACGTGACGATCTTCTACCGGGCCGCCCCCGACGAAGACCTGGAAAGGGGGTTTTAAGGTGGACTACAATACACGTCTATTTCACCATGAATCTGTAGCCATCGTGCTGTTAAATTGAAGTTTTCAAGGTGCCGTTTTTCCCTTAAAAAGCGCTTACAGCAGAGTCGCGTGAACGCGGTGCGGTTTGAGTTGCGGATTACGCTACATTGCTATCGACACCGTAAAACAGGAACTAATGAACAGCTAATTCTAAATTTTTCAAGTCCCGCATTCTTTTTACAATGGGGTTTTAGTCGCGCCTAGTGAACGCGTTGCGGCTGCGTTGCGGCAGATTGAAAAGCGCGTCCCAGACCGCACAGGACACGCAATTGCTTTAAAGGGCCGTTGTAGTCAAAAATATTTGCGAATTTTTGCGAATCCTACTCACCACAGCGCTGCTCGGCTCGTCATTGGCAATAACCGGAGTCTCGGAAACGACGGGGGTCTCGCTGATGTTGTGCAGATTTCGCAGTCGACAACGGCCCTACGAAGCAGAAAATCAAAGATTTTTGAGGGCAGCTTACTTGAAACAAGGAGGTGCACTCGATCAACTTGCTCGATTTGTCGTAGACGGCCATCGCTTTCGTGTAGGAATTGTAGGGTCGTTTCGGGACTTTGCATTCATCGTTTTTGCCTAAAAATAATGGATACTGGAGATTTTTAGCGTCTAACTCTAGATAGAAAACGAGAGAGCGAGAGATAGGGAGGGATAGAGAGAGAGAGAGAGAGCTGGCTAGAACGGGAGCATTTTTTAGCTGATTTTCACTCGACCACCCTCGAATAGGCATGCAAAATGCAAATACCGGCTAGCCGAGGAGGGGGAAAGTTAAAGGCGATTCGAGTGAAATGGGCCGTGCACCGAGAAGGTGGCGATCCCCGAGAAATCACTAGGATAGGTATCGATTCCGAGAGGTTTAAAGGATCATGAAATAAGAGGGGATGAGAGGGAGAGGGAGCGACAGAGACAGAGAGAGAGAGCGAGAGAGGAGAGAGATAGAGAGAGAGTAATAGTAAACTTTCGAAAAAATCTGACCTCCACGACACTCCTCAGCATCATCTTCCGGCCCGGTTTGGGCGTGTATCCGAACGGATAACGTCTCGGAGGTCAGGTCGTATAAATGGTTGACGCCGCCGACGTATAATCGAGAGGTGGCCGGGTCGATTACCTGGAAAATGTCGATTATACATTTTCTTCTTCTCTCTCTGTCGCTCTCCCTCTCTCTCGCTCTCGCTCGCTCTCTCTCTCTCTATCTCCCAAAATGCCCAAAAACCCACCATTTTTTGGAAGAATTGCCCATCTGCCGAGTGTGGATTGTCGAAGGTATGCCATTGCTGCTGAGCATCACCCGTTTGAAGTATAGAAAATAAACAGAATGTTGCTGCTATGATTAATCGGGGCGGTCGTATCCGCCATTTGATTGTGTTCATCGTTTTGGGCGAAGAAATGGACATTTCCCAACTATCATCGCCTCCCAGAATTCGTTTTCAAGAGAATTTTCGAGGGAATCGAGGGGAGAGGTCGAGAAGCTCGGAATAGGAAGGGATCGGCCACTTGCCTGTCCCTTTAGTCGAGGAGGAGGGGCTTCTGGAAATATCGAAATTAGGGTATGATTTAACAAAAGGTCAGGAAATCGAATCGAAAAACATAGTACGAAATTGGAATTGGGGAAAAATATTCTAAAAACTAAATGAAAGAATGCTCTAGAGAGCGAGAGCAAGAGAGACGTTAAGGGAAAGAGAGAGGGAAAGAGAGACTAGAGAGAGAGAGAGCAGGAGAGAGAGAGAGCATGAGAGTGAGAGAAAGAAAGATAAACATGAAGAAATACATCTGAAAATGATAGCTCCTAGCTAGAGAAGCGAAAGATAAAAAGAAATCAGCGAAAAAAAATCACAAAATCACGGTACAAAAATGGCCAAAAGACAAGCAGGAAGGCATCTGCCGTGCCTGTTTGCCGGTGCAATGCTGAGCAAGGGGGGTGGAGGGCTGTAAAAGGCCTTAAATTCAGCCCCGATTTGGCCGGCGATCTGCCAGGATCGGGGCCGGAATTGAGTCTCAAAGCTCCAGATGACCGACCGGGTGGGATAGGTAGAAAAATAACGGACTCTATTGACTCACAAAACCACCGCCTAGACCCTGATGGGGAAATTAAAATAGGAAAAGGAAGGAATAAAATCGTTTGGAGCGAGAGAAAGAGAGAAAGAGAGAGTGAAAGAGAGAGAGACAGTAAGAGAGGGAGAGAGAGAAAGAGAGCGGAAAACATAAAAACCCGAAGAAAACACTATGAATCATTCGCACCGGTCGCGGGTGGCTGGCTAGTCGAGGGGCCGGAAGAAGATAACGCCCATCTCTCCCATTTTTTAGCATTGATTATTTTGGAACACGGAGGCTATTTGGGTATTTACATAGCGTAATAAATTACGGGCTGAAAAAAAAAACCGATTTTGGCTTAAGACATTAGTATCGAATTGGAAATTGACAACTTTTTGGCTCCAGGACAGTACGATATTAAAATGGCACATTCAGTTTCAGAGAAGTAAGTTTGGCTTCTCTAAAATATAGCTTAATAGCAGCTTCAGGAAATTTTAATATGCGAATTAGGCACCGGAAAATCGAAAGCTTACAAAAATCATAAATTTCGAGCGTAAAAATCCGGTGAACTTCGGAAAAACGATAAAAATGAAGAAATGATAAATATCTAAGGTTATAAATGATAAATCTATAAGAATGCAGTCTTTACAATACCCTTAAACAAAGAAAAAAGTTTAGCTCGCGGTAAATAAATTAAAAAATGCAAATTCGATCTTGATACGGTGAAAAATAAGCGAAAAATAAGCGAAAAAGCAGAAATAATGATTTCCGTCCTAAAACGTGGGAAGCAATAGGAATTTTTGCCTTCACCATCCCCTTAAACCCACAGATTCAACTCAAAAGTTCTCAGACGGCCTGTTGGCGCGGTCTGAGATGGGTCTCCGGATGTGCGGGAGGAGGAGGAGCGTGGTGGAATGCCCCGGGGACATGTCCCCTCCCCCATCCTTGGCCGGGTCGTGAAAATGGGCCCTAACTAGGGCCCCGGCCTTAGGGCCCACCCAGCCTTAGGCCAGCCTTAGGCCCCAGTCCACAACAAGCCATGGGGGGCCACACTGATTAGGGGGCTGTAGCCAGTGGAGCTGAAGCTTTTTGAGCTCTTCTGCGGGCCCCCTTTGGGCCCCTTATTGGCCCTTTCGGTTTTTTCTGGCCTATTCTCGTTAGGGCCGCTTGATCTAGTGAGTCGGTTTACCCGAGAAAAAAAAAGCTAAAAAGACCCCCAAAAAATGCAGAAAACTTGGAATCAACGACTATACAGAAGCCGCCGAGTTTTGCGGAAGGAGAAGCCGAACGGAAAAGCAAAAAAAGAAGGAAAATTCGAAAGAAGTAGCTAGTCTGCCAAAAAATTGAAAATCCCGACAAATAGAATGCCGACAACAAGAGCTCCGACCCCCATAAGCAACAAACGAGTTCAAAATACCGATTAACACAATTTTCGACGTTTGGCAAAAATGCCGACAAGCTAAAATGGCGATCGGCCCAATGCAAAAACATGGAGAAAAATGCCGACAACACGGCTCCTAATCAGGCCACGCCTAGGCAAATAATACCGACACGGCAAAACCCCGAAGTAAAAATTTAGACCGTTCGGCGGCGATCAAAACCAGTCGAAAAATCCGACATCGTAAAATTCGCATACGAAAAATGCCGACAATCCAAGCGGAGTTGTATGAAGGAAATACCGACAGCAAAGATCCCAAAACATGGATTGCGTTAATCGGGAAATGCCAAAATGCCGCTATTTCCCAAAATGCCAGAGTTTTAAAACAAAAATTAATCGGCATTTTGCCTTCCGGATTTTTTACTTCAGTTACATGTCAAATGTTTAGTGCTGATTTTCTAAAGAAGCTATTAGAAATTTTAGCAATTTAAAATCGAGCCGTAAAAGTTATGCCGTGTTTTTCTAGCCCAAAAAGGCTCGGCGACAAGAGCCGGACACACACACACGGCAGACGAATTCTCAGGGATCCATCAAATGGCTGCGGAGCAGGAGAAAAAACTAGCGAGACGAAAAAGTGGTGGAGAAGGAACGGCCATTGCACGACGGCCTCTACCCTCATGGAAAAGTGGGAACGGGAAGATGGGACGGGAGGAAGAAAAAAAGCATAAAAACCAGGATGAAATGGGCTCAAAACCAGGAGCGAGACAAAAATAGAGCGAGAGAGACAGAGAGAGCGAGTAAGAGAGAGAGACGAGATTGCAAAAAAAATTATCAGGATCCAAAAAGTAGTTGGTGCCGGTCAAGCCCAAGCCTAAGCCTAATTCGAAGCCAAAATCTAAGCCCAAGCAAGCCTAAGCCTAAGCTAAACCTAACTTAAGCTGAAGCCTAAGCCTGGGCCTGAGCCCAAGCCTAAGCTTACACCTAAGCCTAATTCTAAGTCGAAGCATGCTTGCATAAAATTGCCTAAAATTAAAAGTTTATTAAACAAAAGTGCCCATTGGCAGCTAATTTTTATCGCATCGTGTTCCCCGTATTTTATTTGATTTTTCCACGAATTTTGAGCCGATTTGGAGTCTGTGACCTCGCAACCTCTACATGTAAGCCCAAGATTTCCGGTTGGCAGATGCACGCGCATCGATGGTTTTGCCAAAACGAGCGCACGAACGCGCAGGCAAATGTGGGTGGGGTCGTCTTGTTGTTGGGAGAGAGAGAGAGAGAGCGGTAGAGAGAGAGAGCGAGAGAGAAACAGAGATACAGAAAAAGAGCGATCCGATCGTTTGTGCCCTGGGCGGTGTGCGGAATACAATGGATGGTATGTGGGGAGATCCATCCTCGGAGGAAGGAAGGGTCATTCCGATTCCATGCACTCAATTTTGGGATTAGTGAATGGTGTAGATGCAAATGGGCCTTGGAGGGATGCAAATAGCAAAGTTTGGTGAATGCTCAGCGTTTGAAAGGGACTAGGAAAGCAAAAAGCTATGAATTTCACCAAAAAAAATTGTTGGTATTTTCAGGACAACATTAGCATATTTTACTACTAAAGCAAGAGAAATAGAGAGTGCTAGAAAGCGAGATCAGGCGAGAGATGGAGAGCGGGAGAGAGCGAGAGAGTCAGACAGAGCGTGAGATGGATGAGCGTGAGAAAAACGTAATCAAATCAGATCGAGAGAGCGCGAGAGCGAGAGAGAAAGAGCGGGGGAGAGACAGAGAAAGAGAGAAAAAAGATGCAACGATAGGTGTCAAAACAAAAGCAAGATATAACCGGGGGTAATGAGAGCGGGAGAGAGAAACAGGGAGAGAGCGTGAGAAAGAGAGAAGCAGGGAGAGAGCGTGAGAGAGAGAGAGCGAGCGAGAGAGAGGGACCAAGAAAAAAAATCCACCGCAATCCTCGGGATCGGCGCTTTCCAAACCATTTTCGAAGCTTTTTTGGACGCTAATAGCCCAAACCCAGCAGGGCAGCCCATCGGAATTAGGTGTATTGAGAAAAACTAGCAGTAGGCAGGCGAGAGAATGAGGCGAGAGAGCAAAAGAAAAGGCTCCCCTAAAAAAAGTGGACGACCTCCAACTTTCAAACGGACCGCCTTCCCGCCATTGTGCCACACCTAGCCATGATGGAATTACGCAGGTCAATTATAGAGCATCGGCGGGAGGGCGGGTGGGACGCCGGAAATTTGCATTAGTGCGAGGAAATTGTGGGAAATGGGAGGTAACGAGCATTAATAGACCGTATCGACAGTCCGATTTTTTATATGATGGAAACTATCGAGCTTGCAGGTTTTTCGGAAGTTTTGGCTCAATAACCGTATCAATTAGTATTTTCCTTGAGCCATATTGAGTACTTTCGAACCATAAAGGTGACGTAATCCATTAAAGGCAATGGAATTGCATAAAACGGAAAAAAAAATGTGAAAAACTTGCTTGAAAATTCAAACAAAATATTTTTAGATAAATTCATGTTTCCAGGTGGCTTTGATACCTGAAATAACCTCTATCACATGCTTTTAGCTCTAAAATAGATTCTTATACCAAAAATCTCGTGATTTAAATGTTGAGCGTATATAGTATTGTATAAGCTTTAGGCTAGCCAAGATTTATCCATCCGGCCAGTCAATTTATTTTGCGTAAACTGAGCAAGCCGGGGAGATGGAGGAGGAGGGGTCGGAAAAGGATTTCCCAAATTTACGGGAGGGCATCCCAGCGACAGGGAGAAGGAAGATTTATGCATGTTGAGGAAAAGCTAAAAGAAAAATA